GCTCCAGGCTCTGAGCTGTCAGCACAGAGCCCGACAAGGGGGCTTGAACCCACGAACCGCAAGATCATGACCTGAGCGGAAGGCGGAAGCTCAACCGACTGAGCCACCCAGGCGCCCCGGAACTCACAGTTCGTAGGCAGACATGTCCATTGATGTTAACAGGAGATCTTTGGGCTGCTTTTCTTACAGATACGAGATCCTGACTCCAAATGCTATTCCCAAGGGTTTCATGGACGGCAAACAGGCTTGTGAGCGAATGGTAAGCTTCCCTCGACCTCTCTGGTTTGCAGACTATCGACACGGTGTGTCCCGTAACAAGCTGTGAACGGACTCTTCCCTCTTTCAGATCAGGGCTTTAGAATTGGACCCAAACTTGTACAGAATCGGACAGAGCAAGATATTTTTCAGAGCTGGCGTTTTGGCGCACTTAGAGGAAGAAAGAGATTTAAAAATTACCGACATCATCATCTTCTTCCAGGCCGTTTGCAGAGGTTACCTGGCCAGAAAGTAAGTGGATAATCGCGAATCCGACACTCGCAGAGCGTGGGCGGGTGCCGAGCGCTGTTCTGTGCTGTAGATGCAAGGGCACCTTGGCCGTGAGGAAACGGGCCAAGACAGAAAATAAAGGGCTTGGGGGTCTTGCTTCGGCGTGGGTTTCTCCGAGGCTCTGAGATCCACAGGATGGGGAAGGTGCTGGCCCTGGTCAGGGGGGCTGGGAGGACAACAGCTTTCCAGTAGGAGCAGCACAGAAGCAGTTCTAGAAGGCGTGCCTGGAGCCTGGCAAGTGAAGGAAGCAGGGTAGGAGAAGCAGGAAGGATGCTGAGGGGTGAGCTGAAGACCCTGGGTCTTGAGGGTCACCCGGCTACCACAACAGGACAGGCTGGGGCCAGAGAGCAATCGGGAGCGCCGTGGTGGGAGACCCTGGAGTGGAAGACGGCCGTCCCCGGCCCGCGGTGGTGACAGAGACAGACCGGTTGCCGGATCCGGATCCGGTTGCTTAGCACTGGAGTGGAGCCAGACGCAGTGATGGTGTTTCCTTCACCTCCTCCCGTAGGAGCCCGGGGCCCCGGAGGGGAGGGTGGGCCTGCTCCGGAGGCTTCGGTCCGCAGCCCGACGCTCCCCATCGGCCTGGCAGGAGGGCAGCTCCGGGCGACGGGCAGCGTGCCGCCCGACGCTGTCCTGAGGGATTTCAGCCCGGTGAGGAGGAGGCGGGATCTGTGAGTCTTGGCCCACACGTGACAGAGTCTCGAGTAGAAGAGGCGGCTCGGAAAGCCCGAGAATGCGTGACGTCCTCAACGATTCACACCCAGGCAACGGTGCGCAAGGAC